CTAGTTCTTTAATCCATTTTGAGTTGATTTTTGTGTATGGTGTGAGGTAGTGGTCAAGCTTCATTCTTTTGCATGTAGCGACCCAGTTTTCCCAGCACCATTTATTTAACAAACTTTCTTTGCTCCAATGCATAGTCTTTGCTCCTTTGTCAAAGATTAGTTGACCATAAATCTGTGGGTTTATTTCTGGATTTTCTATTCGATTCCATTGGTCTGTATGTCTGTTCTTGTTCCAATACCATGCAGTTTTGATGATTATGGCTTTGTAGTATAGTTTGAAGTCTGGGAGTGTGATGCCTCCATTTCCTTCTTTTTTTTTCAGTAGAGCTTTGGCTATTCGGGGTTTTTGGTGATTCCATATGAATTTCATCAATAATTGTTCTATTTCTTTGAAGAATGCCATTGAGATTTTGATTGGAATAGCATTGAATCTGTATATTGCTTTTGGTAGGATGGCCATTTTAATAATGTTATTCTTCCAATCCATGAGCAGGGGATGTCTTTCCATTTCTTTGTGTCTTCTTCTATTTCTTTTAACAGTGTTTTATAGTTTTCTTTGTATAGGTCCTTTACCTCTTTTGTTAGATTTATTCCCAAATATTTGATTTTTTTTGTTTCGATAATAAAAGGGGTGGTTTTTTGATTTCTTCTTCTTCAGATTTATTGTTTGTGTATAGGAAGGCCACTGACTTTTGCGTGTTGATTTTGTATCCTGCCACTTTACTGAATTGATTGATGAGTTGAATTAGTTTTTCTGTGGAGATTTTGGGGTTCTCTATGTATATTATCATATCATCTGCAAATAGTGATAGTTTGACTTCTTCTTTTCCTATTTGGATTCCTTGGATGTCTTTCTCTTGTCTTATTGCTCTGGCTAGGACTTCCAGTATTATATTGAAAAGCAGTGGTGAGAGTGGACATCCTTGTCTTGTTCCAGATCTTAATGGAATTGCTTTCAGCTTTTCACCATTGAGAATGATACTGGCTGTTGGCTTGTCATAGATGGCCTTTATGATGTTGAGGTATGTTCCTTGTATCCCAAGAATTTCAAGGGCTTTTATCATGAATGGGTGTTGCACTTTGTTGAAAGCTTTCTCAGCATCTATTGATATTATCATATGGTTTTTATATTTCTTTTTGTTGATGTGTTGGATAACGTTGATTGATTTTCGGATGTTAAACCATCCTTGTGCCCCTGAAATGAATCCAACTTGGTCGTGGTGAATTATCTTATGGATACATTGTTGGATTCTGATAGCTAAAATTTTATTGAGGATTTTTGCATCAGTGTTCATTAGGGAGATTGGCCTATAGTTTTCCTTTTTGTGTTGTCCTTATTCGGTTTTGGTATTAGTGTAATATTGGCTTCATAGAACGTGTTTGGTATTGTCCCTTCCTTCTCAATTTTTTGGAAGAGTTTGTGAAGGATAGGCACTAATTCGTCTCTGAATGTTTGGTAGAATTCATTTGTAAATCCATCAGGTCCTGGGCTTTTGTTTTGGGGAGGTTTTTAATTACCATTTCAATTTCGCTGCTTGTAATTGGTCTGTTTAGGTGTTCTATTTCTTCTTTATCTAGCTTTGGGTGATTGTAGAGTTGTAGGAATTGGTCCATCTCCTCTAGATTGTTGAACTTGTTTCCATATAACTGTTCATAGTAGTTACTGATTATTCTTTTGATTTCTGCTGTGTCCGTTGTGATTTCTCCTCTTTCATTTATGATTCTGTGTATTTGTGCTTTCTCCCTTTTTTCCTTTGTGAGCCTGGCTAGGGGTTTGTCTATTTTATTTATTTTTCAAAGAACCAGCTCTTGGTTTCATTGATCTTTTGGATTGTTTTTTTAGTTTCAATTTCATTTATTTCTGCTTTGGTTTTTATTATTTCTTTTCTTCTACTGGTTCTGGGGTTTTTTGTTGTTCTTTTCTAGATCTTTGAGCTTCGAGATTAGGTTGTTTCTTTGAGTTCTTTCTTGTTTTTGATGTGAGCTTCTATTGCTATATATTTTCCTCTTATTACTGCTTTTGCTGCATCCCATACATTTAGGATATTGGTGTCCTCCTTGTCATTCAATTCAAAGAATTTTTTAATTTCTTCTTTGATCTCCTCGTTAGTCCAGTGGTCTTCCAGTAGTGTGGCTTTTAATCTCCATGAGGTAGGATAGTTCCTTGCCTTCTTTTTATGATTTATTTCTAGTTTGATGCCTTCGTGGTCAGAAAAGATGGTTGGTATGATTTCAATCTTGGTGTATCTGTTGATGTTTGTCTTGTGCCCCAGTATGTGATCGATCCTGGAGAATGATCCGTGTGCGCTTGAGAAAAATGTGTACTCCGTTTTTTTTGGGTTTAGTGTTCTATAGATGTCTGTTAAGCCCAAATGCTCTAGGTCCTTATTTAGAGCTTTAGTTTCTTTACTTATTTTTTGTCTTGTTGATCTATCCATTGTTGATAGTGGTGTGTTGAAGTCTCCCACTACATATGTGTTTTCTCTGATGTCTGTTTTCAGAGAGGACAACAGTTGTCTGATATATTTTGGTGCTCTTTCGTTTGGTGAGTATATGTTAATGAGTGTTATTTCTTCTTGAAGTATTGTCCCCTTAATCATAATGTAGTGACCATTGGGGTCTCTTTTTATTTTTTGAGTTTGAAGTCTGTTTTATCTGATATAAGTATAGCTGTTCCTGCTTTCTTTTTTGGCCCATTTGCTTGTAGGATTGTTTTCCATCCTTTGACTTTGAGCCTATTTTTATCTTTTGTAGCTAAATGTGTTTCCTGGAGACAGCAAAAGGTTGGGTTTTGTTTCTTAATCCAGGCTGCAACTCTGTGTCTTTTTATTGAAGAGTTTAGTCCATTTACATTTAGAGTTAATATTGATATGTTAGCATCTGTATTTGCCATTATGTTTGTCTTTCCTTTGATTTTATTTATTTATTCTTTTAATAACTTTTTTTTTTTTGGTCTTCTTTCGTTGTTATTCGTCCCTCTGAGGTTCTGGCTTTAGGATTCCTTGTAGTATTTTTTGGAGTGGGGGTTTAGTCGCAATGAAATTCCGGAGTTTCTCTTTGTCTGGGAAGGTCCATATTCTTTCTTCATGGAGGAAAGAGAGCTTTGCGGGATAGAGTATTCTTGGTTGGCATCTGTTTTCTTGGAGTCTGTTGACTATGTCCCTCCACTCTCTCCTTGCCCGTAGTGTTTCTTCAGAGAAGTCTGATGTCAGCCTGATTGGTTTTCCTTTGAATGTTATCTGTTTCTTCCCTCTTGTCAGCTTCATTATTTTTTCCTTGTCCTGGATTCTTGGGAGCTTTACTATTATGTGTCTTGCTGTGTTTTTCCTTTCGTCGTGGAAGTTTGGTGTTCTTCTTGTTTCTTGTATATCAATTTTCAGCTCCTTCTTCTCATTTGGGAAGTTCTCTTCAATTATATCCATGAATATTTTCTCTGTTCCTACATCTCTCTCCTCTCCTTCTGGAATTCCTATAACTCTTATATTTCCTTTCCTCATGGAGTCAGATAGTTCCCGAAGTCTTTCTTCATTCTTTTTCCTTCGTACTTCTCTTTCCTTTTCTGTTTTGGTTCTTTTTATTTCTGTGTCTTCAAGATTACTTATTCGTTCTTCCATTTCATCTATTCTGCTTTCATTGCTTTTCCCAGAGTTCTTTAGTTCCTCCATTAATTCTTTGATCTCCTGCATTTCTCTTACTTCCCTCTTTAGGGACTCAATTTCCTTCTTCTGATCTATCACTTTTTTAATCATGGCAATTTTAAATTCTCTTTCTGGAAGGCTCAGAAGTTCTTCCAAGTTGCTGTCGTTGCAATCTGGGGAGTGGTTTTCTTTTTGTGGTGTGCTTCTTTCCTGAGGAGTTTTTAGGTTGCGTGTGGTTCTTCTACTCCCTACTGTCTGTTTTCTAATTTGTCGTATGCGTTGGGACACTGTGTTGCTCGGACTGACTGACATCTTGGGTGAACTTCTCCGCTCCCCTCTGGCTCTTCGAGGAGCCATCTCTGTCTTCTGGGGGAGCTTTCTGCTGGTTTTAGGCAGTTTTTACTGAAGAAATGTCCCTGTTCTCAAATGGCGAAGCGGGATGCAGTCCCTGCGCCTCCGGTTTCAGGCACACTCTTCTGCGCACCCGGTCTGCCCCGGACGTGGGTGCCTGCTCCCTCTGTGGGCTCAGACTGCTGGTCGGAAGGGGCCTGGCGTGGAATAACTTCCCGGCTGGCCACTGGGTCCTCCAGAAACCTTCTGCCCTTTTCAAGCAGTCTTAAGAAATGTCCTGTTTTATAGGGTGTTAGTGACTTTTTTTTTTTCCTGGTCGCTAGGTGGCGCCAGAGATCTCTCCTATTGTCCTTGGGGGGCTGTTTTTCGCCTCCCCCCACCCCGTGGGACAGAGAACAGAGCGGGAATGGTAGGGTACACCTCAACAGCTTTGGGGTGCTGTGTCTGCCTTGTGCCCCACCGTCGTGGAGAAACCACGCCCCGAATTTTCGTGCCCCGGGTCTCAGTTCAAAGCCCTTAGTTCCAGGACGCGGGCTGTAGCCCAGTTCAGTGGCGCGGGAAGGGCGCCTTTTGCACCGCTCCCGTGCCTGGGCGCCTGGATCCTGCTTACTCAGGGAGGGACCTTCACCTCAGTGAGGACCTCCGCGCGTCTCCCCGCAAGCCTAGGTCGTCTCCCCGCAAGCCTAGGTCGCAGGCGCGGGGACCTGGGCAGCCGCGATCCAGGTCTGCACTTGCTTTTCAAGCGCGCCAAGCACACCGCTCTCCGCGCAAGCTTACCGGCAGCCCGGGCTGTGTGCGCGTCTCCCGGGGTCTTTGTTCTTCTCTAATGGCGCCCGGAGCCGTTCGCTCACCGCCGCGGCGGATCCTGCAGGGTTCGCCTCAGCTCCCGTTCACGGGGTGTGGTGGCTGCAATAGTTCCTTTCCACTCACAGTCCCGCTTGCTGCCTCGTTTGTTCTTGTGGGCCGTTTTGGTTTGTTGTTTCCTCCTCTCTGCGGGTCGGAGAGTGCCGCCTCTCTACTTTACCATTTTTAAAATTAAAACTGAGAAAAATTTAAAACACAAGAATACACAAGCACACATCCCATTAACCAAAAGAGTGATGCAATTATAGTGTACTGTTTAGCCCCTGAAAATCAAAGGAGCAAGAATACAAGTGACAAAGCAATTAACATCTTAGTATTATTCTAAAATTAGCTTTGAGTTTGTGGACCCCCTGGGAGTATGTTATGGCAACCCAGAGATCCTCAGTACATATAAGGACCTATGAGTAGAATTCGGAAGCATCTCAGAAGGCAAAAAATTTTATCTTTGTTTCATTAATCTCCAACAGAAGTGTATGTTTTCTTTTTTTCTAATAGGCACAATGCACAGCAATATCAGAAGTCCCTGTGACTTTTTTTTACCACTAGAAATCACAGATATGTTCCTAACATATCAAGTTATTGTAGATATCTTAAAATAGCAGTTATGCTCATGACTATGTTGAAATGATGGTAGTTATTAGACCTGCTACTTGGGATTAGCAAGAAAGTGTGCTCTAGTTGGGTAAATATTAACAGACAGTAAGTAGCTGATGCTTTGTTCTTGGTTATTCTATCACAGACTCAGAACTGGATTCCCCAGCAGGGAATTAAACATTTATTCACTGGTTTGAGGAATAATCCTCTTTCTTTTTTGTCTAAGAGAGTTAGAAATAACCTATTGGCTTAAATATCTTGTTCTACTTGGTCTGGCACCATGAGATGAGATTGAAATGATCTGTTGATGACAAGCAACTGAATTTTCAACACCTACTAATGAGCATGGGCTACTCAAAAGGATTCTAAATTAAATATGTAGCCCAAACTGAAAAAAAAAAAAAAAGAATAAGTTTGAGGTGGTTCTTTTCATTCATTGGAATAGGCTTGTTGGTATTTTCCAGGGGCAGTATAAGAATCAGAAGTAGGAATTAATTATGAAGGGACATAACCCTGAGCTTTGGGACACATAGCTCACCATATTGTTCTTGGACTGTCTCTGAAAAATAAACCCTTTCAGGATGATGTATAATGAAAGAGCAATGCATTAGGAGTTAGATCACATGAGTTCTTGTTCTGCCTCTAATTATGGGATCTTGGGACAACTTGTCAGCTTCTATAACTCAGTGTTCTCCTTAACTGCTAAGGAGCTTCTCTAGCTCAAGTATTCTATAATTAGAAACTTGGGAGTATATTCAGTTCATTTATTAAAATTTATTGAATACCTCCTATAAATTAAACATCATATTAGTCACTGGGGATTAACAGGATATGGTCCCTGGCCTAAAGGGGTCTACATTTAAGACAGCAAATGAAGATTTATGTAGATCCCACTTCCAGAGATAAAATATTAGCTATTCCCTGTGAATGCCATTAAAATTGTCGATTCATATGTACATAGTATCAACAGGATCAATCTCGATATTAGTTGGAATCTAGAAAAGAATGTCCCTAATTGTCTTCCCTAAGAAGCTGTCATTCATTTAATCAGACTTTATAAGGTCCTAAAATATATGAGGCACTATGCTAGATGTTGGATCATAGGTTTCTTGGCCTAAAGGGACTCATAGGACAAGAAGATAAAACTGCTAATTAAAGTGATAAGGAGTATAATGGAGTATGCAACAAGGTATTTTGCCTGTATAGTGGAGGGCACATCTGACCCAGTCAAATATTGGCAGTTGTAGGCAGCCAGGGAATGCTCCATGGAGGAGGTGGCTTATAATACCTGGCCCTTGAAAGTTAAGTAGTAATTTGCAAGGCAGAGAAGTAAGAGAAAACCATTGTGATCATAGTTTGGGATCTGGTCTGGTACATCAGGAAATTTCAACTTTTGAATTTTGGGCGGGGAGACATAACCTTTGAAATGCTGATATGTTAATGATGAGGGGATTGGGCTTTTGTGTTTGCATTGGAAATACCATCTCATTGTAACTTTTTCTCTTTGTGTGCATTTTAGAAAAAACACCCAGGTTGATGCCTGACCAAGGAAGCATGTATTACCCACGGGTCCAGCATTATCGAGAGCTGCTGGACTCCTTGCCAATGGATGCCTATACACATGGCTGCATTTTACATCCCGAGTTAACAGTGGACTCCATGATCCCAGCTTATGCAACAACAAGGATTCGCAGTATGTAAAAATCTGAAAGATCTGGAGTTAAGTTTCTTTTAGTTTATTTCTGAGACCTTCACTGAGAGAAGACTGGGAATAGAGTCATAAAATTTGCTTCATGGGCCCATTGCTAGTCTGGTTAACCTGTGCTTCAGTCGTTCAGCTGGACATGCATTGTCTATAGGACCTGATTTTCAAGCACTTGAGTTTGAGAGCCAAGCTTGGACAAACCTTAGAAGAATGGCCTGTGGAAAAGCAAATAGATGAACTGCGAATCAGGAAAGCTGGGATCTGTTGGCAATTATGGGCAACTGAGTTCACATTTGTTTTTTTTTTAATATATAATTTTTATTTTGAAATATAATCTTTTCCCTTTATTAACAGTGGTTTATGAGACTGTATAAAATAGGGGACTAGGTTCACACTTTGCCTTAAAATTTTTTAAAAGATTTATTTATTTATTTATACAAGCACTGGGTACAGTCAGAGGTGCGGGAGGGTGAGAGAATTCACCAGAGCCAGAGTGGAGAGTAGAACAGGCAGACTGACGAAATACACTGCTGAGGGGAGCAGTGGGCACGGCAGGAGAGGTCCGTGTGCCATGTGGGACCCTCACCAGCGGCCGGGGATGGATCTGGCGCTGCACAGGCTGCAGACAGCTTCGCAACCCAGCGCTCAACAGCTGCGCCACCGGGAAGGCCCCTAATTTTTGTTTTATTACCCAAGGGAGCAGGACTTCAGGGTATCTAACCACCAGTCCTCTTCAAATTCAGAGACTGGAGATTTAGTGAGTCGATTTGTGGTATCCAGTTCTCTCCTTTCCCCCTGTTCTGACAGAGCGGGGTCAGTGCATGAGATGTAGAACAGAAGGTGGCGTGCTTGGTGACACAGGTGAAAAAGGGAAGGTGGCTGTGATTGGCCTCTGAGGCTGTTTCACAAGGAACAGTCCAGATCTCCTAAATATAGAAACTATGTTCTCTCCATTACATCATACTTCATCTTTGTCATCTCTTATATTTTTCTGTCTTTCTGACACCTTTCCTCCTCTCCTCTCCCTTCCCTCTTCCTCTCTTCTCCACTTTTCTTTCTTCTTGCCTCTCCGCTTTCTCTTATTTCTCCTCTTGCTCTTCATAACTATTCTGATTACAATTTAATTACTGAGAGTTAATATTTGTCTTAAATAAGGTTTTCTCCTTCCCTTCCTATAGAAGTTCATTGCAGAAAACCTGTCCTGCTGCACGACTCAATGAGCACTGAGGGTGTCATGGGTTTTGCTCTAAGTGTTCTCTGTGGTGCTTCCCACTCACTGCTTCCCCTGTGAGGCAGGTGCTCTGGGAGTTTCCTCCAAAAGTGGGGAACTGGGGAAAGGGGAGGGTAAGGCAAGGCAGAGGAGGGCATGAACCCCAGAGCTCATACTCTTATCATCATTTCCCCTCTTCTTGTTTTCAGTATAAAAGGGTGGAAATAATCTTCTGTTTCAAAAATAATTTTATCATCAGGCCAAATTGGTAACACAGAGTCTGAACTAAAGAAGCTTGCTGAAGAAAACCCAGATTTACAAGAGGCTTACCTTGCCAAGCAGAAGAGACTTAAAGTAAGTAAAGCAGGCTGTCCTCAATTGACATCAGTTGTTTGTATTAAAAGTTGTACTTTTTGTAATTATCGCTGTTTCTAGAACATCTCCTAAGGGATATTCAAGTCACCAGTATACATTAGCTTTGACTGATGCTCTGCTTTTACAAAGAATTTTCTTTATTAGATTTGATGTTCAAACCTAACAACAGTTACTTAAAAAGCAGATGTTCTGCATATTGGTTGCCAAGGAAAGTTGTAAATTATAAAAGCAAGTTAATAAAATATCTAGGTACCTGTCATTTTAGGCATTGCCACTCGAAGGCCTACCTAGTCCTTTGTCTATGATTTGTCTGTCTCCTATGGAGGAGGACTTTGCTTTACCAGTTGTAGTCTGTCTTTTTCTTTATGTTGATTCTTTCCCTATGGTTCAATAACACAGCTTCCCCCATTAAAACTGTAACAAACATCGACACTTCTAATCCTCCCTCCACCTGCCATCTTGCTTTGTCTTATTTTAGCTATGAGCTTCCCAAAAGTAATGCCTGTACACACAGCAAGTTCCTTACATTTATGCACTCTCTCACTCCCTGCATTTGGGTTTTGCTCTCATCCCTTCCATTAGCTATCATTTAATCTGCTGAAATTCCATTCTGTGTTGGAGGAGAGGAGTTTCTTTTGCTTCTATTTTTTACCCTCCCTGGTCATCTGGTTCCAGAGGAGTAGCCAGGAGTAGTGAGTCTGGCCCCTGAGGGCAATTTTCCTCAACATTGCCTTTGCTTTAGCAACTTAACTCTATTTTTTCCTTTCTGTTAAAAATAAATAGTTTCTAACTCTATAAGCATTTATATCTGCCTTGCTCTTCATAACTTCTTTTTACAGGCTTAAATAACCTATTCAGTTATTTCTGTTAATTAGTCAAAGCTGCTTGACCATGACAATATCAAATATTTGAAGAAGATTCTTGATGAATTGGAGAAAGTCTTGGATCAGGTTGAAACCGAATTGCAAAGAAGAAATGAAGAAACCCCAGGTAGGTTCTCATTTGTATTCTTTTTCTCTTTGCCTTGACACCACAAGTATTTAGGGAAACATTCTTAGATTTATAAAAAATGTTCTATAGCCTATGTTTTTTTTTTTGTTATTCACAAGCAGTTAAATATGACAATAAGAATATTGAACTCAGCAAAATCCAGGTCTCTGTGTGAAATATGATTGGTGAAGGGTTTTTCTGACCCTTAAATCATGATTGGGAGATTCCTACCTACCTGTTTGAAAAAATTGTAATTATGGTAGTTAATTTGCTTGATTAATCTGGGTAATTGTTTGAATGCTCCCTCTGAGGTTCCCTTAGGAAGGAGATAACTCCCAATCTTAAGTAAAATATGAAATGGGGGCCAGCAGGTATATATCTGCAGGCTGACTGGTGAGCATCCCTGTACTATACTTGTTATATCTAACTTCATGATTAAGAACAGGTGGATGCACATGGACCATTTGCACCATTCCAATTGACAACAGAGTAAAAGACCATGCTGTGTGAAACTTGTTTCACAATAGAAACGCTCTTCTGCTTTAAATAAGTAAGAGTAGCAATCATTGATAGACATTTCAGGAACAACTTTATGGATTTTCCTAAAGCACACTTGTCATTTTCCTAAACCAGAAGGAAATATCTGTTAACTCCTTGGCTTGGAGGCTGACAAGTGCTCAGTATCCTTTATAAAATGATAGATGGGCTTTTAGTCACCTAGAGACCTAGATGACAGACAGATATCAACAGGTCTTCCTAGGCTTGGGATACCTTTGTGTAGACTTTGATTTTTTTTTAAGCATAAAATTAATCACTGAATGTGACTGTCAAGAAAATATACCATGACCCTGATATTCTCACACTTGCCCTCAAAAAAAAAAAAAAAAGACAGAAGGTACTAGCCTAAAGATAGTTGAGACAATAGATAGCCCTAAGTCTCCCTGCTTGCCCCTGACTTTTCTGTGTCCCTTTCTCTGATTAGAAGAAGGACGTCAGCCTTGGCTCTGTGGAGAATCCTTCACCTTGGCAGACGTCTCTCTTGCTGTCACATTGCATCGACTGAAGTTCCTGGGGTTTGCAAGGAGAAACTGGGGAAATGGAAAGCGACCAAACTTGGAAACCTATTATGAGCGTGTCTTGAAGAGAAAAACATTTAACAAGGTTTTAGGACATGTCAACAATATATTAATCTCTGCGGTGCTGCCAACAGCGTTCCGGGTGGCCAAGAAAAGGGCCCCAAAAGTTCTTGGCACCACCCTTGTGGTTGGTTTGCTTGCAGGAATGGGATATTTTGCTTTTATGCTTTTCAGAAAGAGACTTGGCAACATGATATTAGCACTTAGACCCAGAACAAATTATTTCTAGGTTTGTAGGGATCTAGGGGTGGCAACTCATCCAACCATTCAGCAAGACCCTGTGTACTCTCCAGGCCCGGTGAAGAATGATCCTGGGCAACTAGTTAAAAGCATAATTTACTTTCCTTTTTGGGTAGTTTATGTGGGGAGAGGAGGCAATGAAAATGTTTTTGTGAGCTGGTAATTTTGAGATGACTTATTTGCAAATCTGAAGTAATCCATCCTTAAAACTTGTGTGCAAGGTCCAGATATGTAAATAATGACAGGTAGAGAGCAAACCTTTCGCTCAAATGTCAGCTCAAATTCTGAGTTATTTTTTTTGGAGAAGTTATCCTTATGAGCAGACTGGAGTAGTGACCTGTGATTGCCCATCGCCATTCCTTTCATGCCATCTGGATGTGCTGAGAGTTGAACAGTCAGTGATATTTCCTTCTTAGGTTCAGACACCATTTTTTGTTAGACATCATAGACATTAGACAGCAGCAGGGTACAGAGGTACTTCATACTACCTAGCTGCTAGTTTTAGGCAGAAATAAGGGAGACAAAGGCAAAGGGGAGGGGAGAGGGGAGAATAAAGCCTCTAATAGTGAAACGCCCAGAATGCAACCTCCACGTGCCTCTAGTGCCGATCCCCTTAGTAAAAATGACATTTAACTACTTACAGCCACTTCCCTCACATCCATCCTCTTATAGTTGAGCATTTTTGGGGAAAGAGGATCAGGGAGTCACTGGGGGGAGTGGATTAGAGAGAATTCCAGGCTTTACATTTGCAGCAACTCATTTGACCTTAGTGTTCATTTCAAATGCATATAAATCCCACCCATTGATTTAGTATATTAGTTGCCTATATATGGATGTGAGATGCCCACTGGAACATGACAGCCTGGCATGAAAACCCAAAGGGATATTACAAAAATAGGGTTCCTTTGTCCCTCCTCATTTCCCCCCAATTAGATGGTACCTGTGAGAAATCTTTCCTATGGCCAGTTGTGTTCAATTGCTAGGAGCAGGGCCTGGCCTGCCCATCCCTTTTATGTGCACATCTGGCATGTAGATGAATGTCCTAGCTAGTCACTAGCACAGCATAGGATTGGGTGGTGGATACTTTGATAGTCCTGAGCTAAATAGGCTCATGTTGGAGGTCGATGTTTTCATGCAAAAATGCTTATCCAGAGCTTGCACCTTTTTTTGATCATCAAGAAAGTCTCTAAGGTTACAGAGAAGAGAAAGGTCTAGTCTTAGCCCTTGGCATTTATTGTAAAGGAGATGAAATAACTGGATAGAGGGTGATATTCCCTGTATTCACTCAGGTATGTCTAGGCATTTTGGGGTGGGTGCCTCCGTCCATCTGGAAGGGACAATCTGAGTGTGTCCATGAACAACCATGAAACTGCATCATGCAGTTTGTGCATAGGAAAAAGCTTTCATGGTGACATGGAAGATGGGGTTTCTCTGGAGCCAGCCAGAAAGGCCTTGGGAACAGTATCAGGTCTCTGGTGAGGAGTACAGAGAATGATGAGCTAAGGCTCCAGTGAATAACAAAAGCTTGCTTTGGATTACCTAAGATTAACTGCAAAATAGCTAAAGAATGTGCTGACTTTTTCACTAATGGGAAACAGTCTTACCTAGGAAACAGTAACTTTTTGATGGTAAAATCATCCTATAATTCCATTTCATGCTCCAGTGGTTTTAGAAAATTTTGATTAACTGGATGTTCCCTGTTTACAAAAATTAGTAACATCTCCAGAATAGAATCATTCCAACAATAATTAGTAGGTGGGCAGCACTTATAATGTTTTAATTTTGCACCTCAGTGCATTGTTGTATATAGAGTATTTGAACTTACCTGTTGCTGGGACATTCCATATATTCATGAAAGAGCCACATGATTGTTTAAGAATTCTTTATGTCACCCTGTTAAAAGCAAGAACATAGATATGAAAGAATTGAGATTAGGTTTTTTTTTTTTAATTGATTTATGTACTGATTGGTTAAAAATAAAGATTAGCAGACTGGTGCTGGCTTTTCCTTAAATTTATATTATTGATGAATCAGAGAAACTCTCCTATGAAGTGTTTTTAATTTTGTTATAAAGTTATACTGGAAATGTTTTTGTTAATATTAAAAATGAGGTATAATGAGTTTCACTTATTTCATGGATACCAGGGGTGATTTTACTTTTAAAATGTTTGCTTAGGGATACACTGATCACTAGATGTCGCTGTTCATCTAGTAGTTTGATACTGGGCCTCAGCTTCAACAAACCTTGTGAACTATTTCAAGTGAAGATAAACATTAATGACCTTAGTTCCTGAAATGAAGGCATGTTATCTGATCATTCATCTGTAAAAAAGCTTGAGGCATATGTAATATTGATTTCTAATGCTTTGGAAGGAATGATGGTGCCACACAATGTCAAGTAAGAGAGCTGAATGTGTACTTCTACCAAAATAGGCACTTTTCATTTGCATGATCATTGGTAACTGGCTAATGTGCTCCTCACTTCCAAAATTTGTCTAAATAGCATATAGAAAAATGCCTGATATACTAAGTTATATTGACTATATCTTAACACACAGATTTTATTTTATTGTTACTGCAATTCCATTTTCCTTAATCGCTGATATAAATTAATGTATTATAAAATTGCTTGCTTGATTTTTAGTAATTATTGGTATTAACACCAGAGTTGATTTTTTTGATGTTGCTGAATGTAATAAACATATCAAGATATCTGTATGTAAGAGCTATAAAAGTAATTGGAAAATAAATATGAACTCTAAAAGCACTAATTTTGTAATTTTTTTTAGAAAAGTTGAATTTTTTATTTAAAAATCAAAGCATAATGTGGTAATTAGAAAGAATAAAATAAGCAGAAATTAGATTTTTCAAAATATTTAGCTATAGGATGCCCTATTTTCCTTATAAAAATCACTGATTCATGAGTTAGGTGCATACAATTTTACAGTTAAAGTGAATGGTAGATTATTGATCCTGGACATTAAAGAAGTTATTATGTAGCCATCATCCTCACTGGTGATAGCATGAAAATAATAAACACCAAGAAAATATTTTTTGTTAAAAATAGCTTGTTACATGTTTATTCAAGTACACTTACGATATTTGTGTAAATTTCTGGTATAGTTAATTCTCTTCCTTTTATTGATACTTGGGTTATTAATATTAAAATTACCATCTAAACTTCATTAGTTTAGCCACTAATTATCAAATAGAAACTCCCAATTTTGTATTACACTGAGAAGATCAAATTAAATGAGAAAAGCAAATTAAGTGAAAATCTACTTGTCGTTATTTTCTGAGTTTGTAAACAAAACAAAAACAACATTATTAAATACCCAAAGAAAGTCAAGTGAATATATAACTTCATAGTCTGCTCAGGAAAGATAACATCACAAGGTAAAGACACAAAAGTCAAGTTAATGCAATAAACTAATATTTGGATAGGTCCTTCATATTGTTTATGACAAATATTTGGCCTATATTTATCTTCCCGACTTATTCATATTGAATGTCTTGATTTTCTATTGATAATTTCCCAGAACATTTGTACTTTACAGGTAGTAAAGTAGATTCCAAGGCAAGTAAGGAAGTCCAGAGTGAGGATACTAGTTTTAACTGTGTATTATATTATGAAAATGAAGAGAGTGAGAGAGAAGGTGAACTTATTCATATATTACAAAGTTAGTACACTGATGAAAAAAATACTGGTGATACTGTCTGAGTTGAGCCCTGGATTTTGTTTCAGGAATGAGGAAGATTATGTGGGTGAGAAGGTAGTGGGGTAGAGCAGGCTCTGAGTTATGAGACTTAAAGGCTATGTGGAACTGGGGACCAAATATGCTCATGATGAACCTTGAACAACTTGTTTATTCAAGTAGGGTGGTCTATTTTACCCATAGTAACTTATTATAAAACTCCTTTGGGAAGACTGTGATTTTTGTCTTCCAACCTTTTGCTTATTCATTATTTATACATTGACTCCTTGATAACAATGTACTGCCATTAATCTCCCTTACTAAGAGAAGCCAACCGTATGGGTGGAAATGAAAAGATGTTAATGAAATGTAATTCAAACAGTTAGGTTCATGTCAACAGTATTATTCACACCCATATGAGTTAGTAAATTCCTAATCAAATAGGTAATTTTCCAGGCATATGGCCAATAGGTGTAAGTATAGCTTTTTCTCTCATCACATTAAACTTTTAAATTAAAAAATCTGATAGTCAATGAAATCACCCATAAAATCATCAAATATAACTCATAATGAAAATACAATGATGACATAGTTTCAGAGATTCTACATTTATTCAGGTCAATGCTTGAAAGAAAGTAAAGATTTTCATTAAGAAATGATATAAAATAAAAATTACTAGAACTAGCAGCAACAGTGGCTATGCTGTAAAAATGGCCACAAATTCTTCACATTTCTCCACTAATATCCTTGAAATATGATGTTACAAATCTTCCCATCAAGAAATAGCATGTGCATGCTGGTGGGAGTGCAAACTGGTCCAACCACTATGGAAAGCTGTGTGGAGATATCTCAACCTACTAAAGATAGAGCTTCCATATGATCCAGCAATTCCACTCCTAGGTATTTACCCAAAGGACACAGAAACATTAATTCCAAAGAGCACCTGCCCCACTATGTTTAGAGCAGCACAATTTACAATACCTAAGCTTTGGAAACAACCCAAATGTCCAAATATGGATGACTGGATCAAGAAGATGTGGTACATATATACAATGGAATATTACTCAGCAATCAAAAAAGATAAACTTATGCAATTTGCAGCCACATGGATGGAGCTGGGGGGGATCATGCTCAGTGAAATTAGCCAGAAAAAAAAGAAAAATACTGGATGGTCTCACTTATAGCAGGAAATTAGAAAACCTAAATAAGGGACCAGGAAAAAGAATAACTATAATAAAGAAAAAATCAACAAGCAACTATAAACCAGAGACACACTATGGGGGGGTGGGGAGAGGTGGGATTGGGGTTAAAATAAAGAGGATGCAATTGTATGGGGACTATAACCAAGATGAAAATGCATACATTGTGCAAAAATGAAAAATGATGTAAGAAATATATAAAATAAAATATATAAAAAATGAATGGCTTATATTAAAAAAAAAGAAATAGCATGTGCACAGCATGACTAGATTAGGTATACCAGTTGCATGAGACATCAAGTAGTGATGAAAGTCACAGAAGTAAGGACCATGCTCAAACCTATGTTAGAGTAAGGTTTTTCAATCTTGCACTATGGATATCTTGGTTAGATAAAAATTTTCGTTATGTGCAACTATTTTGTGTGTCATAGGATGTTTAATAACAGCCTCTACCTATTAAATTCCAGTAGTTACATGTTGTAACAACCAAAAATATCTTCAGATATTGCCACATGCCATCTCCATTGATTTATAATATATGTAGAAGTAAGTGTATAACTAAAAAAGCACAAAAGTTGAAGGTGATGGATAAATGGGATGATATTATAAGGCTATTAGGTCTGTAAAATATGAAGAGTGAAGAGATATCATGTATAAAGCTGCAAGTGTGAAATGTGAAAAAGGAAGCAGTGTTAAGTGTAAAGTGTGAAGCTATATAATTATTATTTGAAATAGGCTGTGGTAAGTTAAAAATAATTGTTATCCAAAGAGAACACTAAAAATTAATTTTGAAAAGGAGCTCAGATGACAATACATGAAACAGAAATAAAATACCAATGAAAGAAACAAGAGGATTAAAAAAAATGGAAGACGTCTGTTTGCTAGCCTTTTCCATTATAAAATGTATTGCTAAATTTTTCTGCACTGCTTCTTTATTTGATCAAATCATTTGCCCTCACTGGCCCAAAATGTCCCAGAGAAGTTAGAAGAGTTTACAGGCACCCCTTATTTGTTCTAAAACCTCATGTACTTACGCAGGAACATAAAAGATCTCTAATCAGTAAATGCTTTCTGATAAAATTGTGGATGATAAAGACTAAGATATAAAGTGACTGAGAATCAACATTATAATCCTTTTCCATGAAAGTCTTTTTGAATGAAGGAATAAAACTGAGCAAATTGTTGCTTTTTGCCTAAAAAAAAAAAAAAAAAAAGGAAGAGATAATGGAAAACAAATACCACTTTGCTGCTATCATGGTAGATTAGCTTAAACAATAGCAATAATTACATAAAATGTTAATTACATTAAATGTAAAATGTTCAAATTGAAGCCAGAGATTGCCAGATTACATAACCATGCAACAGCACTATTCACAATAGCTAAGACAAAGAAACAAGTGCCCATCCAAGGAAGATTGGATAAAGATGATATACCACATTTGCTATTTGTGACAACAGGATGGAACTTGAGGTAATTATGTCAAGCCAAATAAATCAGAAAGAGAGAAGGACAAATACCAGATGATTTCACTCATTTCTGGAATATAAAGAAACAGAGCAAACAAATTACCAAGCAAAAACAATTCTTAAACTCTGACCAAAGAGCGAGAGAAAGAGGTGGGGCATGGGAGGAACTTGTAGACGGAGGATCGACTGGATGTGGTGGATGGTTATTAGAACCTTGTTGGTGTGTATGGCATGGTGTCATACATTTAAACAAGTGGAAGTTGTACCCTTACAATTTATACAGTCTGGATATGATGCAGTGAAATAAGACCCGTCTCTCTTCCTACCCCACCAGATAAGCATTCCTATGTGTTGCATTTAACAAGTTGTCTTCTTGCATTCTATGGAAAAGGGAGGATAGCCCTAAGAGGATAATAAGGAAGTTAAACATCTAAGGAAGTTAAACATAAGGTATTAACAAAGCAAGCTGGTGCTCATCCAAAATCTCCAAAGGCCAGCATCAAAAGGACATGCTGACCCTTGTCCATTTCCCTTTTGTTTGACGCCTTTGTAAAAATAT